CCTCAAGCCCACCCCCCCCGCCCTCCCGCGCCCCCCCCCCCCGCAGAGAAGTGTTAGTGTGTGGCAGTCTCCTGAGCTAGGAAACCATTACTGGGGGCGGGGTTTCCACATCTGCTGTAGGACCTGTTGCTTCTGGGGAGAGACGGGAGAGAGAGCCAGTGAGAAAGCACACAGGAGGGCTACTCCGCAGCCCCTTCTCTCTGCTCTTCTTGGGATTTCGGCACTAAGGCCCACACGTACCTGGCATGTTTTTCAAGCCATTAGGTCCAGGACTCGAACTGTGTACTCAGCCATATGGGATCGGCCACCTTAATCACCAAACTACCAGCTGGGAATCTCATTCATGTAGAGCTTAGTGTGAGAATTTAAACTGAGAAACACTATCTTACTAAAAAAGCTTTTTTTTTTTTTTTAGAAGTTTTTGCTATAGGGTGCGTGTGCTCGCCAGAGAGACAAAAAGCGAGAAATCACTCCCCAGGGGGGATGGCCACACCTCAATCCCTTCTCCATTCTCCTCTCAGGATCTTGGGCACACGCACACACGTCCGGCGTGAGTTTAAGCCACCGAGTCCAGGACTTGAATCATAGTCGACTGCGTGGCAGTTCAGCAACATAGCCATTACACTAACTGCTGGTCCTGAAAAAAGCTTTTTATAAAAAAAAAATACTTATTTAATTGTATTCATTCATTCATTTCTTTTAACCAGAGAGAGACACAGAGAGAGAGAGGAGAGAGAGTGGGAAAGTGAGAAAGCAAGGCGCCAGGTCCAGGACTTGAACCGTGGTTGGCTATGTGGGAGTGCCCAGCATCTTAACATGCCACCTGCTGGCCCCTGAGAAAGCTTTTTAAAGACCTTGCCAGAGGGAGCAGAAGAGAGCATCCCAGCCTCTCTCACCCGGGTGGCCCCGAGATGATTTCAGATGTCAGCTTGCCAGGCTGGTAATCACAGATGCTGCGCCCAGTAACGTGGTCCCACATACGCACGCTTTCCCCAGCTCTT